GTGCACGTGCGACGTTGAATACGTCGAGCAATTCTATATCGGTGATGGCGAAAGCGCTCGAGGGTTTGAGGCTCTGCTGCTGCTAATTTTGACTTTGCGCCTCGCTCCGACTCGGTTTTATACTTCACGTAAAAGCGAATAAAGCGTTAAAGTACGAAAGTAAAGATAGAGAGAGAGAGAGAGAGAGAGAGAGAGAGAGGGAGAGTCAGAGATTGTGTTTTCTCTATGCTCGTATGTGTTAGTTTGTTTGTGTGTGTCCGTGTCCGTGTCCGTGTCCGTGTCCGTGTGTTCTGAGAGAGTGCGCGCGCGCGCGCGAGAGAGAGAGAGAGAGAGAGAGAGAGAGAGAGAGGACGCGAACATGAGCTGGGAAGGTCTTCTAAACACATGTGCAGCATGACTCTCCCACACGTTTTGCTCTCTTGTTCGACTTTTGTAGAGATTTTCCAGTTACTTACTTTCAATTATTTTTCTTGTTATATTTCATTTAATCATTCATAGAAGCATAAAAATTAACTATACATCTCTTTGACTTTTTTTTTCTATTTCATCTCTATTAAAAATATTCTTTATTGTTTGTTTTTTTAACTTGAGGACCTTCAACTAACTCAAATATTCAAAAAAATAATTTAATTTACATATTTGTGAACTATATGTGGCAAGATGTATCAATGTTACTGTAAGATGTAAAAATAAATTTATTATTACATCTATTGATAAAGCAAGAATTTTTATTTTATACAATAAAATAAATATTATTTTTCATTTAAATGAGTTAGGCACTGCTTACTCATCCTTTCAAAGTTGATAAAATTGCTGCATTTCTGAAATAGCAATACAAATTATATTTCTAAGTACCTAAGTTATGTATATTTTGTTCTGTTCCGCTCTCTCTTTTTCGAAAAGTCCAAAAAGTTTTTCGACGTCAGCCAGGACCATACAAAAATCCTCAGTCCTTAAAGCCTCGCATCTTCTCTAATAGCCAAGGCACACAACGGCCAAGCTCACGTATATGAATGCACAAGGGTACACACATTAGTATCATGCCGCACGCACACTTGTGCGCCCATGCATAGACGCATAAGCAGGAAAGGAGAGGAAAAAAATTTAAAGGAAGGAGCGGAGGCCCTACAACAGCAGGGCTTACTTCCTTTTGCTTTGCTGTGTCCTCAGCTCTGTCTCGTTCTTTCTTCATGGCAGGATCATCGCCCCACCCCTCACCGTACTCTCACTCTCACGACACATATACACGCTTACTCACACTCATTCACTCACTCACTCACTCACTCTCTCTCTCTCTCTCTCTCTCGCTATCTCTCTCTCGCTCTCTCGCTCTCTCGCTCTATCTTTCTTTTTCGTGGGGTAAAGAGGGTCAAGTGCACACTGAACGCAGAAGCTGCAGAATCCAAGCGTCTCTCCCTGTTTCGCCTTCTTTTTGGCTCTTTTTCCGTCTATTTATGCCCCAAACATAGGCTTTTCGCCACAAGCCTCATTTAGTTAGAGAGTAAATGACAAAACGTACGGAACGAACAACTTCTTGTTGCGCTTTGTTTGCTTCTTCAAAACTTTGACAATTTCGCCGCGTTCATGGTCTCGCACTTATCAATGTTTTTTGCGTAAATGTCGATGCGAACGATCACCGCTAATTATTTCCTTAATGTTTATATTTTGATTGGATAGTTGAAGGAGCCATTGAAGCTCGAATCGCAACATGTTTTTTTAGATTCTTAATTCCTACACACGGATAATGATATTTATTATTGTTAAATTTTGAAAGTAAAGTACTTAATTTAATTCACATGAATAGAAATGTAACAAAGCCTCTACCATCGGAGCTATAGTATCGAGTAAAAATATAATCGTAAAATTATGTACACGATACTTTATCTGAAATAGTAAATATGAAATGTGTAATAGAAAGTAGACTGAGAGAAAGAGAATGTTGATACATTGTATGTGAGCTGTGTTTGAACTAAATTTAAAATGCCAGCGTAATGAATGAGAATTCTAACATTTCAAAAGATAAACATTACATTCTTAAAGCTGGAGAATAACCGATGCTGCCCAAACGAGGCATATTCATTATTCACCGACCTCTAAATATTTAAATATTGCGCCTATTTCGAACGAAGCCACCGAACCTGTGCACTACTACGTTAGTCAGCTCCTCTCCTCGATAGGCGAGCGTTAAAAGAATTGCTCCTTACCCCCGCTCTCCACCAATACCCCCTCGTCGATCTCACGTCACTCTAGTAAAATCGAGTAATGAGTGGCGTTGCATTGATTAGCAAAATTATGTCGCATTATCGAAGCGGTGGAGTGCCGAGGGGACGGATACCAAGTGGCGTGGGCTGGAAAAGCCACCGAGATTCGAAAAAGACAGTTAGGGCTTCGATTGCACACTTGCTCCGGCGTCTCGCTGCACCAAGTTGCATGCACCTACCATCTGGCGTTGCCGCTCTCCCTCCTCCAACCCCCTCCCCTCGTCCCACACTCGACCCTCGTCCTCGCTCCGCCCAACACCACGAAAAACTAGAGGAGAGCAGCGTCGGTGGTGGTGGTGGCGGCGGTGGCTGTGGCGGCTGCGGCGGCTGCGACGGCGACGGCAGCAACAGCAGCAACAGCAGCAACAGCAGCAACAGCAGCACCAGCGCCTCGCGGTAATACGATCTTCGTGGAGAAAGCCCTGGTGCCTTGGGAGTTGGGCCGAGTCCCGGGGGCCCACAATGTGTGTATGCGCGCACAGGCCGATCGCTCACGCAAGGCCCTGCCAAACCCTTCGGTGCTCGTTGCCCTTTTAAAAAACTGCATCTCAATGCATCTGCGGCCGTGGTTGGAAAATGAGAGAAGGGTCCGGGTGAAACGAGGCGGGGTTTGAGGGGGAGGGGGAGTGGAGCTACGCGGCGATTCCTAGCGTTGAGGGACCTTGGGATTGATCCTTCTGCCTGACGTTGAGAAGAGAGAAAAGAAAAAGGACAGAGGGTTGCCGTGTGAGAAGAAACGCCTTGACCGCGGATAAGGCTTCGTCTTTTTGCTTCCTCTCCCGTCACTCTCTCTCTCTCTCTCTCTCTCTCTCTCTCTCTCCCTTTGCGTTGTTTGCACTTCTCTCAGCCGATCGGTGGGTGCACGCAGGGACAACAGAGGGGATAATGAGATGTGTGGATTTTTTATGCGAGAAAATCTTCGCGCGTGAAATGTATTTTTGGATTGCGGCCGAGGGGAAGCTGTTGTGGTTCAACGGCTGCTGTTCTCTATACGTGAGAAAATCGCTAATTTTCTCCCTCCTCACTTCTTCTACCTCCTCCTTAACACCCTACCACCTCCCCCGCCCTCATTGGTAATTTATTTTTGGTGCGCTGTTTTCCATTTTATTTTTCAATTTAGCATTTCAAATACAGCTGTTGTGCACTTTTCTGAGTGAACCACTCGCACACGAATTGGAGAAGAAAACTTTTGTTATCTAATGTGGCTTTTTTTTATAACTAGTTAACGGAAATATTCTCATACTAAGCTACAAAAATTTTGTCATTACTAATTAACGTGATACAGTTGTCGAGTGCATAATTTGTTAGTGCCCTCATTTTGTCGAGAAAAGTATTATTTTTAAATTTTTTACTTGGCCGTGTTTAAGGCATGTATGTTATATTTAACTTCTTTTTTTTTTTCCTTTTTTTTTTAAGAAACATCGTCGCTATATAGTTTCTCTAAGGCAAATACTATATTGTAAACATCGACATGTTTACTTAATAATGCGGAGACATGCTCATATCCTATTAAAATTCCAACATTACACATCGTGAGAACTGTATTCGTCTATCCAATTATGCGTATGTGAACAATGTAATTAACAGTTTCATTTACTTATGTTAACATAATTGTCAAATACTATAATTCAATATATCTACAGCAATGGTTAAGTACATATATAATTGAATAATTTGCTCTTGAGTCTAGAAGAAATTTTAGTTTATAATAAATTGTGCTTGTGCATAGGCATTAAAAATAAATTGAGCAACAAGTACTACGTAAATAAATATTAATTTTTTTATTACTCGTTATTTCAGTTACATTTATTTATTTATTTATTTATTATAATTTACATTTATGAAGTAACGATTAATACAGATACTTTGATTACACAAGCGGACATACCAATCATATATTGTAAAACAGTTCTAATTAGAAAATACTTGGGTTTATGAAATGCTTTAAGAATGTATAATAATTTCATTTGTTTCAATTTGTAAGAGAAATTTTTTTTTGTTTTTCTACACCAAATACATTTATGATTTATTTACATATATTTTATGAGGTTTGCATTACTAAATTATATAGAGTATATACAATTTAGAAATACAATTCTATAATGTTAATATTATTTTTTTTTTGTAATAATATTAATATCTATATATTTCATTGCATTGTAATTAGCATCTTAAAACAGATAGACTAGAATAATAAGAGTATAATTATATATAAATATATTATTAGGACTAGCGAGGGGATTATATTAATGAATATAATGGCATCTGTGAGTAAAGCATAATGGAGAATGAAGCTCGAACTACTTTATAATTTAATGTATTGAATTGCATTATTTCATACGCTTGGAGCTGAATTTTGTCATCAGTGACTTGATATCGGTCGACATCAGAATTAATTATGCAGCATAACTATAAGCTTTCAATTACTTTTTAACAAGGCGAGTTGTTTAAGAATTGTTGAACTATGCCATTTATTTCACGATAAATTTCTTTGTAAACAGCCTCTTAAATTCTCTACGACTCTGTGTTTATGAAAACAGTCGAGGAGTAAACTGGTAGGATTAGATTTTTGAACGGGCGATCGACATATTATGAGAATTTTTTTATAAAAATTGCAACACCGAGTGTTCGATATTAATGTTTCGTTAATCATTCAATTTGAAGGCCAATGAATAAATACGAAAATTGAGACAATCTTACTATTGCCATCATTAATGATTAAATGTCCTACTGTTACAGAGAACATGGATATGGAATCATTGTATGACTACGGAGAAGAGGAACAAGACTTTTACGAAGAAACTCCTGGTGCAAGAAAAGGATATCCTATTGATCACAGATCCATAAAAGTAAGTATTTAATTTTCCAAGATTTCGCTGGAACGTGTTAACTGCCTTGTCTTCCCAAATAGCATTTAACGCAATAAAGAGTCACGGCATCCTTAACATTTGAATCATAATACAAACTCAGGGTACGTCAGAATTGAAAATCACGGAGGTATGGGGGAAATTCCGTTTATACAAAGGCGACTGCGTGCGAGAGCCCAGAATTTTCGCGTGGAACGAGCGCTTGGAGATGATAAGAGATAGATAGATAGATAGATAGATAGATAGATAGATAGATAGATAGATAGATAGATAGATAGATAGATAGATAGATAGATAGATAGATAGATAGATAGATAGATAGATAGATAGATAGATAGATAGATAGATAGATAGATAGATAGATAGATAGATAGATAGATAGATAGATAGATAGATAGATAGATAGATAGATAGATAGATAGATAGATAGATAGATAGATAGATAGATAGATAGATAGATAGATAGATAGATAGATAGATAGATAGATAGATAGATAGATAGATAGATAGATAGATAGATAGATAGATAGATAGATATATATATATATATATATAGAGAGAGAGAGAGAGAGAGAGTGAGTGAGTGAGTGAGTGATAGAGTAAGAGATGCAACGAGTCGGTGATAGACAATGGCGAGCTCGCCTTATTGGAGCAACTGTCGTTAAAGGATAAACGCGGCGCACGCAGCGCTTGACCTCATGAAAGAATTCAATTACATAGCCGACGCAACTATTGTTGCGAGTGACAAGCTGCTCTTGCGTATCTCGCTCGCATCTTCTCTCCTTCTCTCCACATAGCAGAATTGTAGCTGTATCAAGTGCTAAATAATTGAATAATTTACAATACACTAATGCTATTGTATTGTAACCGAGCGAATGACGAAGGTATATGACGAGCGGAGGGGTTGAGTGGAGCGTGGGGAGAGGAGATTAGGAACGTATGGGAGCAAGAGAGAAACAGGATAAATGCTCGTACTGATAACAGTCGCGACGTTGCACGTAGTCTCAATCTGACTATCATTGCTGCTAACTACACCGATGATAAATAACTGCAATTGTAGAACAGTGATATGTTTTCGTTGACTATTGGCGAGTGCAAGTGAAATGTTGTATATTGCTCGAGGCTCGTTAAATTCACTAGAACTTTGTCAACCTTTCTCGGTCGGTCACCTTATTTCAAGCTTTATTACAGCAAATTATCCAAAGTGCTCGTGAGATATTTTAAAGAAAAATACATGTAAATCGAGAGGCAGAATCACTGCATTATCAGCATCTTGTGCCGGCGCGATAAAAACATTATGTAAATTAACAAAACTGATGTAGTAAATGAGAAAAGCCTCTCGTTGGTTAAAAATTTACCGAGGTTAAACATTATTAATCAATCATTCGCGTTTAAGAGTTTTACAATGTATAGACATCATAGTTAAAACTTGCAGAATCATTGAAAATATTAACTATAACAAGATAATTATTCTCGCGATAAAATTTTAAAAAATATTGCATTTACATATCACTATGTTCCCAACTAATTAGCCTTATAACTTATTGAATTAAAAAATTTTATAATCCATTGGTATTCTGTGGGTAACGTATTAACTGCAACGATATTACAAATTTTATTATAATGCGGATAGTGAGTGATTCGTGCATTTTTGCATTGCAGATCCAATTTTTTCTTACCATCTGTGCACTCTGTTAATGTAGGATTTATTACTTAAGTATTGTATTAAAACGAATGAATCTCAAAGCCTTTCATAATTATTATTCATTATTATAAATATAAAATCAAAATCATTCTGATAATTATGATTTTAAGCTCATACTTTTCTATTTATACAATACATAATAATTTACATATGATGACCCTCTAGATAATGATTGTTTAAAAATTTATGAAATGGCAAATTTTTTTTTTCAAACCTGAATTATATACGCGTGTGCCTGTATATGCTATTATATTTAAACCGAACAAAGCCAGTTATTATTGCTTACATTAGTGCTCGTATTATATTTTAAGCAAAACTCTCAAAATATTTACAATAAAATATAAATAATAGGCCAACAAATGAATAATAGACAAAATAGCTTGTATAATATTAAAAATATGAATATTTAAATGATTATTCTTGCCATTTCCATGCATTGGCAAATTCAATGTTTTTTTTTTTTTGTTGATTTTTATTTTTTGAATATGCTCAATTTGTTACATAATTTCCTCATCAACTTTATTGGGGGGTGGGGGTGGAGAGAGGAGGGGGTGGTGGTGTTAGGTAGGTAGGAGATGGCGACAACGTGCTGAGTATATCGAAGTATATCGAAGCCATTGATTTTACTCAATATAAGCAAACACTAAGTGTGTATAAGTTTGAAGATTTTGTAATTACATAAAATGCTTAAATTGACATTTATTATCTATTTTTTGCTTAAGCCGTCCATTATTCGATTATTAGCCAAAGTAAATACACGGCATCTATGTATATGGGAAATCAATAATATGTGCCATTGTTCGAAATTTAAGTGATATACCGATGGATGTTCTAAAAAAAAAGCAAAGGTTGGAGACGAACGATTTATTCAATTGAAATAGAATAAAAAGAAGTAATTATTGACATGATTAAAATTAAATTGCCTATCCAGCTATAAAATTATCTGATTTTGAAATGATGCCCTACCCATTATAATGATACGGCTGTATTTTTGGTAAAAGTATAAAAAATGTATCAGTATTGGGAATATACTCTTGTATAGAAGTTTGTTCGCGCGAAGAAAAGCGAACATTTTCGAGTTGAGCGAAAAAGTGGCTGCCGCAGAG